CCCCCCCGCCTGGGATGGCCACTCACCCTCTGACAGGAGGCTTCACTTGACAGTCCTCCTCATCGGGACCACACCTCACCCAAAGGTGCCAGGGACCCACCCTGTGATGGAAGGAGCCCGGCTGGGGTTTGCTCCTGCTCCAACTCATGCTCCTTGAGACTGGAGCAAGAGGCTTCCCCTCTGCACACGGCTCCTCACATGTACAAGGCTGCAGTGAGATGCATCACGTGGAAGATTGGCACCCGGACCTCCCTCAAGTGGCAGGTGACAGGTACTGTGCCACTGAGGAGGGGACACGGGGGTGTCTCTACAAGACCCTGAGAACACAAACCCCACTGGGTCTGGATGGGACTCTGAGATTCTGTGGGGGGCTTGAAGTGGGGTGCTTGAAGGGCCTGCACTGGGAATGGGGTATGCAGATTCACTGCTGGGGTCCCTGGGCCACAGGTATGACAGTGCAGCCCTAGAGGTTGAAGGGAGAGGGCAGGGGAGCCAGGCCAACCTGAGCCCAGCCCATGGGCTGTGCTGGCAAGAGACCTTCTTCCCAGACACCAGTGGAGGCACCAAGGTGGCACTGTTTGCCCCACTGCTTGGCCGTCTTGTGGGGCCTCTCCTCTAGGTGACAGCTGCTGCCAGAGACTCGGCTGGCAAAGCAGCCCATCTGCAGAGATGGAGCCACAGAAGGCAGCACTAGTCCTGCCCTCAACTTCCTAAACAGAGGCCTGTCCCTGAGGTGGGGCAGTAGGCCCAGAAGGATCCCGAAGGGTCTCAGAGGAAGGGCCATGTAGGCTGGACTTGGACGAGAAGGAAGTGAAGGGAGAGGAGAGATTCCAGTAGAGAAAACAGCCTTGGAGGCTTAGAGGCTCCTCTGTCAGCGAAGGCCCAAGGCGGTCCTGGGAGCCAAGCTCCGCCTTTCCTAGGCTTCCAGCCTGCCCTGCACCAGCACGCGGCCTGAGGAGCTCTTGCCTTCCACCTGCATTCTCCCTGGCCCCTGGCAGGCTCCCATGGCATACAGACTGTGGGCCAGGGCCTCCCTCTGCCGATAAGCTGTCCCTACCCAGGGGCCCACCCAGGAGACCAGCAATTCCTTCCCACAGTCCCTGCCTATGAGGCCAGCAATCCCTTAGGGGCTCCTGTCTGCATCCCAGCGCCCTCCCTTCCCCATCCGGGCCAGCTCAGACCCAGGGGCCCATCCCTAGACCTTGAGCCCCTCTGCTTCCTCCTACCCAAGTCCCTTGGCCTAAGCCCTCCCTTCCGTGGCCTCCAGTGGGAAAGGCTGGGGTCCTCCCTTTCCCAACTCAGCACCTGACTTTCATGGTACCTTCTTCACAGCATCTTTACTGCACAGCAAAACCCTTCTCAGTCGTAACGCATGCACATCTCTCAGGGCTATTTGAGTCGCACCAGACAAGACAGACCCCATGAGACAGACGGGATGGCAGCTGAGGGTTAGGTCGCTCAGAAATTAAGCAGGTTGGAGTACCAGGACCTACTTCGGGATTTCAAGTCACAGCTGAGCACCACCAGGGGCTGTAGTCTCCCGGGCTTTGTGGGATGTGATGCCCTGAAGCCACATGCTTGCTTTCAGGGCACATCCAGGACAAGTCCAGTTCACAGGTCCCTCTGCCAGCTCAGCCCAGAGCATCCTTGTGGTATCCCCTGACACTTGAGGCTAACACTTTCCCTCCAGGGTTCCCCAGTTCTACCCCAAACCTACCCTCTGGGCTTCCCTAACCCCCTACCTCAAGCCAATCTCCGTCCCTCATTTTCTTTTCACGTTAGTCCTTGCTAGGATCACCATCCCTGTTCTGCAGCCGAGACCATGGATTCCCGGGCCGATGACTTGCCCAGTGAGTGAGCTGAGGAGGCAGGAACAGATCCCAAGAGCCCAAGTTAGACAATCAAAATCTCCAGTTCATCAGGATGCCCTCTGTGGCTGTGGACTCCTGGAGAGCAGGACTCAGGGTGTCTTCAGGGCCACACCCGCACTTCGTAGGCCAAGCGGGGAGAAGCAACAAGCAAGTCCCCCCAAAACTGGCCAGGTTCAGCCTGGCCCAAAGCCTGTCTCCTGAAGACATGTCTGGGCTGCTGTCAACATCCCAGACTGAGCAGGGAAGCCAGCTCAGCCCAGAGCCTGGTCAGCACGGAGAGGACACAGATGGAGGGTCAGTGGCAAGAATTTACCCGAGAAACACTAGAACTGCTGAGAGGAGACGCCAAAAGGCCAGGGAAGAACAAGGAGGTGTTGACACCAGACCAGTGGACTATCCTTGAGGAGCCCTGCGGGGATCTGCTGGGACTCAGGACGGCTGCCCACAGGACACAGCCTTCCAGGCCCCACCTAAGGCCTCCACAGCAGGGCTGATGAGACAGCCCCCCCCTCCACACACCACACAACAACCTCCCTGCCTGCTGTGCTCCACAGAGCTTTCCACCACCTCAGGAGCGAAACACCCAGGGGCAGCCCTGGCTGGGGGCGTGGAGGGTCATCTGGAGGGTGCAGAGTCTGGGAATCCGGGGCAAGCTGGGCAGCAGAGGCCAAGCGGAGGCAGGCCTGAGCTCCAGGCCCTGTGGGTGGCAGACTCAGGGGAGAGCTGCTGCCCCGGGATGGGGGAGGAGAGCTGGTTAAGCGGCCCACTGCCCCCCAAAGGCCAGGAACACCTGCTCCTCCCTGTGGGGCCCTGAATCCCCCGCCACGGTCGTCTCTGGCTGCAGAGCGCTCCGTCTCCCCCTTCCTCCCACAGGACAGTCGGGGAAACTAAATTCCAAAAGCCGGGACGCGGGGATCTCTGCACCCCGCCCCTCTCCAGCCCTGGGGCCATCCTACGCCAAATCCCTCGAGAGCTGCCACCATTCCTGCCATTCCTACCTCCGCTTAGGGCAGCAAGGCAGGCGGCCAGGACGGGTCTGAGGCGCGCACCCAACCCCGCCCGTCCGTGGCCTCTCCTGGGTCCCCCACGCCAGTTCCCGCCACCCCCGTCCCCAGGACGCGCCCGTCCGCGCTCCAGGCTTCCCTCTCCCGCCGCGCCGGGCGCTGGGGTGTCGCGCCCG